TTGCAATTTCTCTATGCGTCGCTGAGGAAATACCAGCCGTTTGTGTCACACTGTTCGCCACGGGACTGTCACCTGAACATGTGTGTTTTAGTCGTGCACAATGGCTCCCCATAGATGCTTCAGTGGCGTGGCAGAAGTTCAGAGCACAGCTTGACGGTCACATCCGTTGGAGACAAATCAGTCCCCTGCTTCTGTCTTCTGGAAAACAGAATTTATTTTCCTCTTTTGAAATGCGCGGTTGACGAACGTTCACTACTCAGAGCTCCTCCACAGACCACACGCAACATTTAGAGAAAGATGTGTCGTTTGAATATCAGCACATATTCAGTGTTCAGCATCTCGGCCTGTTAGGACAAATTATTATACAATATGTTTATACGTATGTATGATTATTGGTCATTTATAAAGTTGCTTCCATATGAAAATCTTAGTATCAAAAAGCCTGTTAATTTCTGAGGTGCGGAGAGAGGGTGGAGGGTCATGAAAAGCAAAACATTTTTGATGCAGGAAACCTTGATTATATACTTATGTATAATCGGGCAAAAAATGACAGAAGTGTAGAATATGACTTCTTGAATAACAGTTATACTAACAAACAGTTAAAAAAGCTACAACTTGCACACTGAAGAAAGAAAATATTGTTTAAAGGGTAAACTTACACAATCTGTTACCTTAAAAGTAGATCCCGTACTTCATTTACCATTGTTATTATGGCAAGGATACCCAGGAGGTGGCAAGGTGGGATTTTGTTGCATGTGTTGTAGTTGACTTTTTTTTCTTTTTTTTCTTTTTAAATCTGAGATAACTGAAGCTTCTAATTTAATGTCCTAATCTCAAAAAAATAAACATGCTTCCCCAATAGAAACAAACAAAATCCACTGATTGCTAACCCTGGAACAACATATAAAACTACCAAATGTAGCTTAATCGCAACGTTTAATCATTGCAGTTAATAGTGTTCACCGTCCGTTTGATTACGTGTAATTTGTAACTAACTGCATGATTCTTACTGTACATTTCTGCCATAGTCTCCGCTAATAACTTACTCCTAACTATAATGTAGAAACTTAAACTTTTCTGGTATTGGTATCGTGAAAAGCGCTATACAAATGAACTTGAATTGAATTGAAGTAGATTAAATGGAGATACAAAATGTAACATTTAAACTGTTTGACAGATTAAAAAAGTAAGCTCAAGTTTCTAAAGAGTTTTTGAAGAAATATCAACAATGTCTCTAAATTTGCTCAAATTCACTAAAATACAAAATTCTGCAATCAGGTTTTACTACTTCCACATTTATATTGATTATTTAGCTTTCTCACAGAACAAACACAAAACAAAACACTACTATGCAGGGTTAATATAGGACACTAAAGCTAAAATCATAAATATTTGTATTACTTCAAATGAAACTTGTTAACTGAAATACAATAAAATATATAAAAAACTTTACTTTAGCTAGTTGTCTAAGCAAAATTTGCATTTTCATTTAGCTTATCTTGATGTACTAAAATAACAAAGTATAAACTAAAATAATTATAGTACTGCTATTATAACGTGAAAATAATGCTGATGTATTAAAAATGATACAAGATGATAATAGATACAAGTCAGGGATTTTAATATGACAGTTTCATCATCTTTCAAAAACAGACGATCAGAGCTGTGCCATTCATATTCTGTTAGTCTGAGATGTAATAATATTAAACGACTGGCTCTACACTCTCATTTTATTGCTCCAAATGAATTTTCGGAGAAACAAAGCTGATCCCTGAAGTGAAATGTCTATTAAAGAGCAATAAATAACGTCTGTCGATCTGAGCGATGAAAGTTTCCTTTGGGAAATTATCCAGAGCATACAATGTCTCATACTGCCTAAATTTATAAGCGAGACGAACACAAAACCAAACCAACGATTTCTTCCGTGAACTTGTTTACAAACGAAGAAAGAAAGTCATACTGACAGAGACAAATGTAACAGACTGTTTGCTTTCTCACTGTTTAAGCAGACGTGCCGTTGCGGTCGGGCAGCGAGGGGAAACTTCAGAAAATATAGCGCAGTGCAGGCTTTGCCAGGCATTTCAGTTCTGTGTGGAAGTACAGGGGGCCTTTATGTCCCACTGCAGGCCATGATGGGCACACACACAGTGTGTGTGTGTGTGGAGGTGATGAAACATTAAGATTTTTCCCCCTTTACATGCAACAACAACCCATGCTTTGATGAGCCCTTGTGTGTGTGTGTGTGTGTCTCTGTGTGTGTGTGTCTGTCTGTCTGTCTGTCGGTCTGTGTGTGTGTGGAGGTGATGAAACATTAAGATTTTTCCCCCTTTACATGCAACAACAACCCATGCTTTGATGAGCCCTTGTGTGTGTGTGTGTGTGTCTCTGTGTGTGTGTGTCTGTCTGTCTGTCTGTCGGTCTGTGTGTGTGTGGAGGTGATGAAACATTAAGATTTTTCCCCCTTTACATGCAACAACAACCCATGCTTTGATGAGCCCTTGTGTGTGTGTGTGTGTGTCTCTGTGTGTGTGTGTCTGTCTGTCTGTCTGTCGGTCTGTGTGTGTGTGGAGGTGATGAAACATTAAGATTTTTCCCCCTTTACATGCAACAACAACCCATGCTTTGATGAGCCCTTGTGTGTGTGTGTGTGTGTCTCTGTGTGTGTGTGTCTGTCTGTCTGTCTGTCGGTCTGTGTGTGTGTGGAGGTGATGAAACATTAAGATTTTTCCCCCTTTACATGCAACAACAACCCATGCTTTGATGAGCCCTTGTGTGTGTGTGTGTGTGTCTCTGTGTGTGTGTGTCTGTCTGTCTGTCTGTCGGTCTGTGTGTGTGTGGAGGTGATGAAACATTAAGATTTTTCCCCCTTTACATGCAACAACAACCCATGCTTTGATGAGCCCCTGTGTGTGTGTCTGTCTGTCTTTCTGTCTGTGTGTGTGTCTGTGTCTCTGTCTGTCTGTCTGTGTGTGTGTGTGTGGAGGTGATGAAACATTAAGATTTTTCCCCCTTTACATGCAACAACAACCCATGCTTTGATGAGCCCCTGTGTGTGTGTGTGTGTGTGTCTCTGTGTGTGTGTGTCTGTCTGTCTGTCTTTCTGTCTGTGTGTGTGTGTGTGTGTGTGTGTGTGTGTGTGTGCGTTCAGGCGATTCCTGTCGTTCTGTGCAAAGTTCAAGGCAGAGTTTCTGGAGCGAGCCGCTGGCTGCTCCGTAATTAAAGACTGATCTTTTGCACCCACACAGGCTGCACATGTGGCTTCGTATGTGTGTGTGCACAGATCAGCAGTTTTCTCCCACATATCCCAGCGCTTTGAGAAAGGGATAGTTTGATTGTGTGTTGGTGTGTGTCTCACCGCTGTGACTCCGCACACAGACTCCCCTGTTTCTCTCTGGATTTTGCAACACGTAGCTCTAAGCAAACTTACAAAACAAATGATGCGTGACATTTTGTTCGAGTTCACATTGTGTTCTGGTTCAGTTTGTGACTTCGCTTGCTTGTGTGTTGTTGAGAGGAGACATAAACATATTACATGATGCAAGATAAGAAGAGTGTTTCAAACAAATTTAAAAGGGGAAAAGTCAATTATATTCTGGATAAAGAAATGAAGGCTTATTTTATTAGTATAATGTGAAAAATGTATATGGGTCAAATACGTTAAGATGTCCGCATCAAAAGAAATTTACTGAAGTGATTTTATGTCCACAGAAAGCACATTAAATCTAAGTAAAGTGTCTACTTTTAAGGTTTCAAGAAAGTTTTTGGAGAATAAAATGCCCAAATTTGGTTGAAATAATGTTACATTGTCATTCAGTGTAATACTTATAGTTATGTAAAAATTCAAACAACATGCTTATTCTGACCTAAAATTTGGTTGAAATAATGTTACATTGTCATTCAGTGTAATACTTATAGTTATGTAAAAATTCAAACAACATGCTTTTTCTGACCTGTACATATTAAAATATATAAAAGAATAAGTGAGCATATTAAATTTGATTATGTTTTAAATTAGTAAAAAGTTCTTACTGACAAATGGACAAAATCTTAGGATAGTGGCATATTTAAACAATGTAAAATAACAACTAATTGGTATTTGGGGTGAAAGTAATTAGTTTTTTGATATGTCATAAATTGATTTTTGTTGTAAATATGCCTGACAAGATTGTTACACCGAATGACATTTTAGTGGGTCTCTTCTGTAAATCAGGGGGAAATGTATGATATATGATACATTTTTTTTTGCTCAGAAAAACAAAAATACAATTACATTAAACAGAAAACTTTTTTTGGGAAAAACAACAATTTAAAGCAGTATTGTTTTTATGCTTAAACCCTTTTCCGTCTTTGGCCCATATATTTATACATTGTAGTATTCCTTGTTTTACTAAATTTAATTTATGCAAACTTTGTTAAAAGATATCAATTGTTGTTGTTGTTTTACATTAATTTTTAATGGAAAATGTGCTTAATCGTCATGGAAATAATGGAAAAATATGAACGGTCCTAAAAATATTTAGTTTATATTTAGTGTGGTTTTTTAGATTTAGTATATTTACTTAAATGTTTCATTTTCTTTATGATAAATATTATATTTATAATTTCAAAAAAAATTTGTCTCTGACTTTAGGAATTCACAAATGATATAGCCTAAATTCTTTTTTATTTGTAATAGTGTTTTACCCTCTATAATATAATAAATATTTTAAGCACATTGTTGAGTGTCTGTTATATAATAATTGAAAAAAGAAAAAGAAAAAAAAGATATATAATATATAAATAATTAAATAGGTTTCATTTTCTTTATGATAATTAATATATTAATAATACATTTAAAAAAATAAATGTATTATAAATATGTATTAAATCAAGTTATTATACATTGCATATGAATACTATATTATTTAATATGTTTTAATATTAAGATGTATAATTACTAAATATTATATCATGTTATATGATATATTTAAAATGATCTGTGATGTTATAATCGTGTACAGGTGCTGTTCGTATGTGGGCCGGAGAGGAGGGGGTCCGCAGGCCATATCCATCGGGAAGAACTGTGATAAGTTTGGGATTGTGGTGCATGAGCTCGGTCACGTGATCGGATTCTGGCATGAGCACACGCGACCCGACAGAGACGATCATGTCAGTATCATACGGGACAACATTCAGCCAGGTAGGAAAAACAACAGCGGCAGAATATCACTCACATTTGTGTGAAACGACTATATTGCAGATTCTGCAGAATACATAACATGTATTGCTAACTGAAAACGATCATGATAATACATCGAAAAGTGAGGTCAACACTCCGACAGCAATCATCAAAGGCGATTTCAGTTTTCACAGAAGCAGCTGTGACAGCATTTGCTTGGAACGACACGGCCCACTTTATAAAACGAATTCTTGACTGCTGAGCTCAGCACAAATCCACCGCTGCACTGGTTTCTGATCAATGCTGGGCAAAACAGTGTTACTTTCACAGAAGACCTCATAGCCCCTGACTGCTGGCTGCAACAGTATGATTAATAAAACATATCGACACTTAAGACAAGTGCTTTTGATAGCAAAATATCACACCATATATAGTTCATTATTTACTCACCCTCGTTCCAAACCTGTTTGCTTGTATATCTGTGAAATATAAGTATAACTTTTGAAGAATATTTATGCAACTCTTGCAATAAAACAACAGCTCATAGTGACCCGGATCTAGACTACACTGTAAAAAATTACTAACAGTAAAAGACTGTAAAAATGCTACAGTAAAAACCTGTTAATTGGTTAACAGTAAGTTTCCATAATATATTCGGTGAATAAATGTAATTACATTTAACATAATTTTACAGTAAAATACTGTTAAAAATGCAGTTTTTGGAAGTGAAAAATTAAAAGTCATTGTATAATTTAGTGAAAAACCGTAAATTGACACTCCCAGAATTAATTATTTCAGTATCATGTGTGTCACCATGATGGGGTTTAATGTTTGTGTGAATAACACTGTGTGCACCTTCTATATATAAGCATTGTCCTCCTCAGCTCGTAGAAAAGCTGTTTGTGATGAGCTTTGGTTCATCATGTGACTTTCTCATCACCACCCGTTTTTGGTGGTTATCAGTGCATTACAATGGTTCAAAACAGATAGTAACACTTCAATATGTTGGTTTATTAACATTACATCAGTTAATGAAATACGGTATTTTATTGTGAATTTAAGTCAAGTCTGTAAAAGCTCAAATGTTGCTACCATATTTTTTACGGTGAAGTTCTGGCAAACACAGCTGCCGGTATTTTACCGTAAATGTCTCAGATTTTTTTTTACAGTGTAGGACTAGAGCAATATTGTTAGTGTTTAATGCATTTCAGTCGGTTACATCGTGTGAGTTCAGGAATATAGCAAGATTCATAGATATTATATTTAGATTTTTTTTGGTGCTTTTTTTTTTTTGAAGATCGGCATGTCTTGGTGACTATTACTGTCATTATATGGCAAGAGCTGCGTAACAATTCTTTAAAAATGTCAACTTTATTATTAAATTATTTAATAATAATAATAATACACAGGTTTGGACTAATGAAGGTGAATAAATAACGAAATTATTTCCTTCAAGAAAACACTTAAAAAGTGCTTTTGACAGCAAAATATCACAGTAAATGGCATTTATATTCAAGAAATAAACCACACAGTAACACTTTACTTAAAGGCATAGTGCATTTATGTTCACAATCTAGGTTGTAATGCATTATATCTTTTCAGAAATAATTGTAACCAAAGTTAAAATGCATTGTAATATGCAAAGACGTTTTGTCTTGTGTTTTAAAGGTGTAACAATGAATAGATAAGTGTTATATTGTATTATAACGGTGGTTACAAATATTATATAATGCATTATAAGGTGCATTAATGCATTAAAACTACTTTTTAATTGAAATGCTTTAAGTAAAGTGTTATCTAGCACACTTCTCAAAGCAAAACATTTCACATTTTTTTGTTTTGTTTTATGTGACACACACAACACCACAACTTGTTGTGATGTTCTGTGATTATGAACCATTAGTGGATCGTGTTGGTAGTTAATATGATTCTCTTCACCTGTGTGAACTTAAGCAGGACTGATATCATGCATCCACTAGAAACCACCAAACACCAGCTTATGAAAAGCCAAAACACTGGAGAAACTCTAGCGCTTGTTTGCAGAACGCATTCGTTTTATGGTATTTTATATCCAATGCGGTGAAGCTCAGGCCTTTTAAGTGTGAATTAACTGTCCAAATATTTGCAAGGCCCCTGTACGCCTAGAAATATCTCAACCGTGGCATATTTTGACTCCCGACCAGCTGTGCCTCTGAGATCCGTCTGATGAAGAGCCCGACATTTTTCACACTTTTTAGGCAGCATTAATGAACAAGATATGCTGAAATAATGGCTGTCGTTAGACATCTGTGCAAATGGAGCTCATTACAGACTCATTATATGGCACAGAATGATTCTCAGCAGAGAGGAAGATTCATAAATAATGTCTGCGACTTTAAAAATTCACTGATGATAGAGGCTATAAAAATATTATTTGTAACAGTGTTTTGCCCTTTTATTACATTAAATATGTTGAAGCACATTATTTAAGAGTGTTTCATAATAATTAGTGGCAGCAAACAGGAAATGAGCTGCTTGAGAGTGTGTGGTGTTACCACGCAGGAATACATGGGAATTTTCCAAATGCATGCTGGACACACAATGCTCTGATTTACTGAACACACTCTCTGACATAATAACACATTTGAAGTATAATATATCATAATGAACAGAATAATTATAATAGTAATTAACTAGTAAATGTGATAACACAAAACACAATCTTGTGAAAGCAGACAGCCTGCTTTGTTGAATGATCAGTATGGGCTCTTACTGCTGTCATCACTTCCTGTCTGAGTCTCATTCTCGGTTTCGTCTCATAGGACAGGAGTACAACTTCCTGAAGATGGAGCCTGGTGAGGTGGACTCACTCGGAGAGGTCTATGACTTCGACAGCATCATGCACTATGCAAGAAACACTTTCTCCAGGTAAGAACCTCTTGAGTATTGTCATATTTTTAATAATTTCCATCCGTATACCAAAATGTTCACCCCTTAATTAATCATGATTTAATATAAAACACACACACACACACACACTATACATATTTATTTAAAATATATAATTTTATCATTTTATTTAATTATAAAAATATATAATTAAGTAAATGATCACACCTTGGAAGTATTAATTGCATATATTGTATATACATTATAATTTATATGCAGAAATTGTATACATAAATATATAAAATATAAATTAAACGCAAACAACATCACTCACACTTAGCAAATATTAAACTTTTTTTTCTGGCAGATAATAAAAGAGACCAAAATCTCACTGACTTGCGTTGAAGGAAAAAATAATAATAATAATAAAAAAATTTGAATTAAAAATCGGTCATTATTTACTCAGCCTTGTTCTAAACCTATATGCTTCTATTTTTGTCAAATATAAATATGGCTTTTGAAGAATATTTATGCAACTCTTGCAATATAACAGTAATAATATAACAATATAACAGTTCAGAAGTGTATCTGGAGTAGGACTAGACATGAGCTTCAGGAGGAAGCAATATTATAAGTGTTTAATAAATTCAATTTTAGTCTGTTCCAATGAGCTCATTGGCAAGAGCTGCGTAACAGATTTTCAAAATGTTCTACTTTGTGTTCCAAGCAAAAAATAACAGCACGCAGGGTTGGAACGATGAGGAAGAATATACATCAGAGAATGATTTTAAAGGGGTGGTTCATTGCGATTTCACTTTTTTAACGTTAGTTAGTGTGTTATGTTGCTGTTTGAGCATAACAAATATCTTCAAAGTTATGAAGCTGAAAGTTCAATGCAAACGGAGATATCATCTTTTAAAATTCTGGCAGTTTAATGCCTACAGAAACGGCTGGTAGGGACTACAACAAGTTACTTCCCGGGTTCGTGACATCACAAACCCAGATAAACCCCGCCCTCGGGAAAAGGCAGCAAAGGGGGCGAGGCCATGCTGCGCTGCTTTAGAGAAGAGGAAGAGAAAACTAGAGGTGCACGTAAAAATCTTTTCATATATGAATCGCGATTCTGTCTTCTAACGATTCTAATGGATTCACAAGTTTCAAAATCAATGTTCTAAAGCAGCGGTTCTTAATACTGTTCCTTGAGTCGCCCTGCTCTGGAACAGTACTCTCTCTCTCTCTCTCTCTCTCTCTCTCTCTCTCTCTCTTTCAGCTCAGCTCCTACAATGAACTGTTCCAATTATACACTTATTTTCACATAGCTATGAGAAGCGTTAAACATGGACATACTGTGTTAAATGCTTTAATCAGGATAAAACCGTATATTAAAAGCTAACATAAGCAGTAGCATTTACAAATAACAGCATATATAAAAGTATGAGACAACAACAAACAAAAAACATAAGCCTACCATTAAAAGCCGTGCTTGCACAGGTTCTGCACGATCCTCTTCAATAATATCCTCTGCTTCTCAATCGGGCTCAAACTGATAAGTGATATTAACGACGCCATTGTTTACAATACAACCGGAGCACATGCCGCTGAGGAGAGGGGCGGGATGCACTAGAGGCGGTTTAGCCAATCACAATACACTGGGCTAGTTAACCAATCAGAGCCCATTGCCTATTTCTGAGGGCGAGGCTTCATAAAAGAAAGAAATGATCAGCGCATTTCTCAGAGAAGGGACAGAGCGGTGTAGAATAAAGGTAAATTGTGTGGAAAATAATGTGTTTTTTTTAAAAACTAAGCATTAACATATGTTAGACTGCACCCCATAAACACAATCAAGCCTAGAAAACACACTTAAAACGTGTCTCTCCTCTCACTCAAACTGTGTCCTGTGCACTCTCAAATCTCTCTGTGCTCATGCTCTATAGATATTATCATGTATGACAAACGGGCAATGATGAATTATGTAATATTCTAAAATAATTCAATCGACACACTAGCTTTGATTATTGATGTAGAAAGTTTAAAATATTGTTTAGTTTATTTTTTCCTTCCGGCGACCCATAGGCACTCAATGAAAGAAGGTTTCTGAACAGACTGTGGAATATCAGTCAGTCATGCAAAACGCTCGCAACCATAGCAACGCCTCAGATTGACAGATATGTAAAAATAAACAGGAATTTTCCGACTTTTGAGCAATTAATTACTGTTTTGTACACATTGTCATGTTAATTATAATTCAAATGCAGTTTGTTTTATTGACCACAATAGCATTGCTATTTGTCTGAGAGGGGCACTTTTGAATAATTTTGAAAAAGGGCAGGGGCTTGAGCCCCCAAAGCTCCCCCTTCTGCACGTGCCTGCTTATGGCTTAGGGGAAGGGAAACAATTGAGAAAGAAAATGGATGTGTAACAGTAGCCTATATTGGTTTACAGCAGTTTAATGTTCCTGAGGCTTTCTGTGTTATGAGTGTTAAACAAACAACAAAACACAAAGAAAAATCACTTTTGTAGCTTTAACACCGATTTATTAGATTTAATTTATACAGTGAAGACTATGCAGTGTTATTTTACATTTGATTATTCAATTTCTGTAACTGAATACTGTTAGACTTACCTGAAAAATATAAAGCACTGCTTATTTCACTTGTATCTTTGCTCTATTATATTGATCTATGCTTGTAATTTGTTTATTTCCTATGCTGATTTACTCGCCTACAAAATCACGCCAATCATGATTTTGTTTCCAAATAAACTATTCAAGTCATGTGGTGATTTTTTTTTTCATATCGCAATATATATGGCAGAAAAATAAAATATCGCAATGTGAGTTTTTTTCCAATATCGTGCAGCCCTAATTGTTTGTGAAATCTACTAGCGGTTTCTTAGTAGAAGTCGTTTCTACACTCTTAAGAAAAATGGTTCTAAACAGTTCCGGATTAGAGTTCTTTAACTCATAACAACAGCAGAATTCTTGCTGCTAAATAGAATCCTTTTTATAAGGTTCTATAAAGCAATATGCTTTGAAAGTGCTTTATTTAGTGCATTGTGTTATAAATAACCTTTTTAATAATAGTTTATTTTCATTAATGCTAGTATATTTATATTATTTACATTAGTATTATTAATATTATTTGTGTATATTTTTACCCCTCTATCTACCTAGTCTTATAATATCTTAAACACCATTTTATTTGAGTGTATTTTTAATGCTAATAATGGTTCATATATATAACTTAAAATATTGACGTATTTTTGCTACTATAGAAAAAGAACTGCAACAACATTGTGATTGTGCTGTTTTTAATATAAAGTTTTTATTTGGCCCATATGTTTGGTTTCATAATCTGATGTGATCAGAAATGGTGTTTGAGTTCAAATGTTTTAGTGTAAAAAAGTGTGGTTAAATATTGCTTTTTTTTTTCTTCATCATGTCGAATGAGTGGAAAACATGCCTTGAGTATTTTTACCTAGAATTTTTACTGTTGAAATGGTTCAGTTCGAGTGAAAAACCTGCCTGTTTAAGCCATTTCAGAGTAAAGAGAGGACATATGGAGTATGCCTTACATATTCCAGGTATTTGTTTGAGAGGTAAAGTGAGGATGGATGTTGCATTTATTCGTTAGCAAGGACACTAAAGGACTGGTTTCCGTGTCTGTAAACTGTCTTCTGGGAGTGTGCTGGAAAACTCAATCCCAGAGTTAAGTATAGCAGACATGGTGAACTCATCCAGGGCTTCCTCTCATTTCAGAGCCACCCATGATTATTAAATGATTACTAGATTCTGAGTTTATCATAAATAGATGTTTTTACCCAGAAATGAAAGGGTAAGGTAGATGGATTTATGCGGCTTGGCTTTGTAAGCAGGACATCAGAAAGTTTGCAGCAGCTTGAGAGAAGCTAACAGTGTTTGTCCACTGTCCTGTTGTCTTTTTTTCCCATCGTCCTTGCTGTATTTGAAGAGTACTCGTACTGTAAATCTCCGTGGGAAGACGGGCTCTTTGATTGCACTTGTATCGGGAGGATTTCATGGCCTTCCCTCAGGTTTTTTTTTTTTTCAATCAAACTTTTCTCCAGGAGAAGCGGGTGAGCCTCCTAGCTTTTTGTCTGGGGCATGTTTTCCGACCTCCTCCTTTGTCTCCTGGCCCCCGTTCCACCCACCCTGCTCACAGAGCTTTTTCTTCTTCAAACTGGTACTGGCAAGTTGAGCCAAAAGCAAATAAAGAGCTTGCAGTATGTCTTCAGTGCGAGATGACACCAGCCCACACATCTACTGTTCATCTCTGGACTCACAGACCCACAATAAGGCTGAGACTTACAAAAACATGCCCAGGTCACATTTCATCACACAATCAAAAGATAAAATAATATTTTACATAAATAAAATATTGTTTTAAGAGCATTAAGTTTGTTTGTTTTTTTCATTATTTTCAATTCTGTGACATTATTTTCATGAGAATTAACCACGTTTTCCCGATTTCCAGACTTTCACAGTAATGCAATACTTTTAAAGGGGTCATATGATGCGATTTCAAGTTTTCCTTTCTCTGTGGAGTGTTACAAGCTGATTGTGCATAGATAAGATCCCTGAAGTTGCAAAGACTAAAGTCTCAAAACCAAAGAGATATTCTTTATCAAAGTTAAGACCCCTAAAACGGCTCGTTCTAACACGCCTCCACATATCTACCTCACTATGTGGAAATATTAGCATAATGCCGCCCAAATGTGCACGCAAAGAAAGAAGGCGTGGTTTCAGTAACCGCAGTTAGTGTTGAAGCAGCATGTCAGGGAGACGCTGTGTGTTTCTAGGCGAAAGCAAAAGCACTTTATTTGGCCTTCCAGAAGTAGATGCATTTAGGAATCTTTAAGATTACTTACAACAGAACAGCAATGCATTTTATGGATGACCGTTTCGTAAACCTATGAGAGGAGGTAACTCTGACTTTGCTATGACAATCTGGAGCTTCTGAATCAGCTACTGTTTTGTTATTAGTTTTAGTATTTGCTATTGACAGTTCAAATTCGGAGTTTTG